TCATCCACCGCAAAAACTGCTCGGTCTTGTCCAATTACCCTGATTTTAAAGAACTTGCACTGAAAGATTCCAATTTAGTACACATTTGTTATGAATATTTCAAGAATATTAAATACGTTTTTTTATAACAAGAATGGAAATATGTTTTTCCAAATTTCAAGAAAAAGTTTTCATAACTAAGTTTTTAATCAACTTATAAACTTTATTCAATTCATTAAAATACAGACATTTTTTTTAACTTATTTTCCAATTTAGATCAACTTTTGAAAAATTATAAAGATCAACAGGAATCAACTTTACATTACTTGTGTTTCTATAGTTATCTAACGAGTATTAACACAAATTTAATAAACATTTTTATTTAAATCTAACAATAATTATTACTCAATATTTCATAAATTTTCTATATTAAATTTCTTCTGTTTTTGATAAAATTGTAATTTTTTAGTGCAATTACTTGCATTTAATTCGTATGTATTGTTCATTGTGAATTGAATATAAATTACCATGTAATTACTACACAGACGAAACATTTCTTATGAATATTTCAAGAATATTAAATACGTTTTTTTTATAACAAGAATGGAAATATGTTTTTCCAAAGGGATTTATGCAAATTTCAAGAAATAATTCAATATTTTCTTAACTAAGTTTTTAATCAACATATAAACATTATTCAATTCATTAAAATACAGACATTCTTTTAACTTCCCACGCCCATTATTATTACTCTCTCTCCTTCTCTATCACTCGCTTTATTTTCACACACAGTTGCCTTGACAACGGAAAAGGAAAATCGCAAAACAAATCGATTCGATTTTGTACTCTCGCATAATAGTGGTAATTTCTTCCTCCTCGCCTTTTCTATTTTCCACTTATTTTCAGTCTTTCTCTTCATGTCACACAACATACATTCACCTCAACACACAGAAGCAGAGAAAGAGAGAGAGAGAGACGCAAACACGACCCAACTCTAAATTTCTAATAAGCTTTATGTACCGACAAGCGGCGGTTTTCCCGGCGAAATGAGAAATGTCGAAACGGTCTCTTTCTCTCTCTGTCATTCGCATTCCTCCACCCTTTAATTATGCGTCTTCTCTCTCTCTCTCTCTCTCTCCTTTTCCAGCTTAATCGATCGCAGTTTCCGCGATAAATTACAGAAAACGGATGCTTATTCCCCTACCCTGCATAACATTTCGTATAATCAAGTGGAAATATGAATAAATCCTTGTGAATATGGCACGTTTCAATGGCATTTCTCCACTAATTGCAATCTATGCTATCTCATTCTCATAACATAAAACGTTTCGTCTGTGTAGTAATTACATAGTAATTTATATTCAATTCACAATGAACAATACATACCAATTAAATGCAAGTAATTGCACTAAAAAATTACAATTTTATCAAAAACAGAAGAAATTTAATATAGAAAATTTATGAAATATTGAGTAATAATTCTTGTTAGATTTAAATAAAAATGTTTATTAAATTTGTGTTAATACTCGTTAGAAAACTATAGAAACACAAGTAATGTAAAGTTGATTCCTGTTGATCTTTATAATTTTTCAAAAGTTGATCTAAATTGGAAAAT